TGTATTAAAAATAATTGAATTGTTTCAATGAAGTTTGTTAAAATTGTATTAAAAATAATTGAATTGTTTTAATGAATTTTTTTAAAATTGTATCATGAAAATAATTGAATTCCTGTAAAGAATGTTAATAATTATGAAAATAATTGAATTCTTTCTAAGAATTTTATTGAAATTTTTGAAAATAATCTAATTCTTTTTATGAATGTAATTAAAATATTGCGATGAATTTTTTTATTCATGAAAATAATTTAATTTTTTTTCAGCAATTTTAATAAATTGAGAATTTTATTAAAATTTTTAAAATTAATTGAATTCTTCTGAGAAATGATATTAAAATATTTGAAAATAATTAAAAATATTGCGATGAATGTTTTTATTTATAAAAATATTTGGATTTTTTCGAAGCATTTGTTTAAGTTTTTGAAAATTTTTTTTTTTAAATCTTCATTGTAAAGAAAAAATTAATTAACTTATTGAAATTAAAATAATAATTATACAATATTTATAGCAATTTATTGTAAATGAAAAAGGAATTTGACATTGAAAATTCAAATTAAATAATGTTCCTAACAAAATATGCTTAAAAAATAATTATCTTATAACAACTTTTAAAAATACTTTTTTATAAAATTGACCTAAATTTGCGGCCTATCTTTCTCTTTAATTTACTATTTAGTTATTTGAATAAACTAAACTAGATATAAATTGAATAAATTGAGTAAATTTAAGACAAAAGAAATTTTTTTTTCAAAAGAAAATATAAAATGAAAATTCTATAAACATTTCGTAGGTAGGTATACGTTAAATGTGAATGCAGAATTCGTACAACTGCTACACGTTTACAAGACACAATAAAAATCTTGGTGAGACGTGAGAGGAAATAGAAACTAGGCAACACAAGTGCCTTTTTTCTGTCTGTGTATTGGGTGTGTAGTACATTCTTCAAAAAATGTAAAAACTTGTAAACCAACTGGCAAAACAAGTCAACGTCCGGACTTAGGTCAGTGATTCGTCTTAGATTACATCATTTTTTTTTCTTTTTCGACAATTAGGATTTAAAAATATCTTTTTTTAAAAAAAGAGATACTTTCATGCTTCGAGTAACTTTCCACAGACAAGCAACAATAAATGGTCGCTAATTTGAAATTTGAAATGATACTCGCAACATCTAAAATCGCATGCGAATGAAATCCGTTATTTATGCAAATAAAAAGTCATAAAACGAATCTCAAGGAAGTGTGTTCTTTTCTAAATTTAGAAGCAAACAAATTCAATGTTGTTGATCTTGTCAAAAAGGAAAGATTTCGTCAACAGTCTGATTAAATGAAGTATTTTTGCGAATTGACATTTGACTTGAAAGTATTTATACGAATGTAGCAATGAATAAGTATTAAATATTCTTTAAAATTCCTTACAAATTTCGTTCTTTAAAATCTTTAAAAATTCCTATTCTTTCTTATTCTTTCTAACAATAATTTAATTTCAACGAAAAGATTTTTAATTTTCGATAAAAAAAGTAAAAAGAAAAAAAAACTGAAATTTTCACTTTCTGCCATGGTTGCAACTGGTAACCCAAATAAATCCACGACTTAGGTGAATTTACAGCAGATTGAGAATTATCTAGGAACCAGAGGGTAGAAAAGTTGTCATAAAATGGTTTTATTCAGCGGAACAAACAGGCTAATCTCAGCAAGAAGCACCTCGAGTGCTCCTTATACTTCGTCCTTGTGAGCGTCCTCATCTTACCTGAGAAAGTGAGAGATGGAAATTTTTTCGGAAAAAAAAGTCAAGTGACTTTTATACAAACCTTACTTTATTCATGAATTTGACACTCTCTACTGTGCATCTTTCTTTAACACACAATTTCAATATTTTTCACAAAAAGAAAAAACTTATTTCTATTACGCAACAAAATTACAAAAAATTTTTTTTTCTAGAGAAAAATTATCCTATAACTGAAAGTTGAAATGAAAGGAAATTTATTATTTCATCAAATTGAATCCTAGAGTTTTTTTAAAATATTAAACATTTTTTACTTATTTACATTTTTACAAAAAATATCTTCATTTCATTTCTTATTAAAAATATTTCGTTCATTTCAACGTTCGAAACTTGTGAATCGTAAAAACTTTCTTAAATTTTTCATCGTCTAAATTAACCAAATATTTTTCTCTGCTCCAATATTTTTAAAAATTACTAAAGCAATTTTGTAATTTGACATTTGATTCAATTTTGATTTTCACCATAGGAAGAAAAAAGACAATTTTTTATATTTTCTTCCCATGGGAAAAAATATTTTATTATTTTAATAATAAAAGTAGTATAGTAAAGATAGTATAAAACATTTATTTTTTAAATGAATTATGTAAATTAATGAAAATATAATTATTGACAAAACTTTAACGTTTACATTGTTTTCTCATAAAGCAAAGCTAATTTACCTTGGTTAACAGTGTTGGATATATAAAGAAGCAAGATTCATTCACTAAGATCAGAAAATAGAATCCCTGCAAATCCAGGGTTAACAAGCTTCTCAGTTTACCGAGGAAATAATTTAAAACAAGCTCTAACACAAAGTTACGACTGTAAAGGTTAACGATGAAAAACACAAAGCCTTTACTATGAAGATCAATGTTTTTCAGTTGTATTCAAATTAACTTGGAATTTTTATAAAATTTTGAATTAAACAATTTTAGAGGGATAGATATTTGCTTTATAGTCAAACGAATTAAGAAAATTTTTAATACATTCAGTGAAAAAAGTATTTTTGCAGTAACTAAATTTTTTACTTGATTCAATATTAGTAAAAATTTATTTGACTTAAAGGAAATAGAAGATCGAATTAATATTTTTTAATTATAGTTATTGATTAATTACTAGTTAATTAATTATAGTTATGAATTAATTAATTACTTAACGGTTCGACAAATGGACACCTGTAAGTGCTTTCACAAATCACAATTAGTGAGGATTATTCTTTTTTAACGAACCCGTAAATTTTTCTATTTTTCAAATTTTTATCTGAAGCTTCAAACTAAATTTAACATAATTTAATTTCAATGTCTCAATTAATTATTTTGAGCTTAAATTTAAATTTGCAGAATTTAATTTCTATTTTTCAGTAAGTAGTTAATTATTTTAAACTTCAAATTAAATTTAACTAATTTTGTTTCTATTTCTCCATTCTTAGTTAAATATTTTAAGCTTAAATTTAAATTAAACTAATACAATCTCTATTTCTCCTTTCTAATTATTTTAAGCTTTTGAATTAAATTTAGAAAAGTTTATTTCTATTTTTCACATAGTTATTATTTAAAGATTTAATTTAAATTTAACTAAATTAATTTCTATTTCTCATTTTTTTTTTTTTTTTATTTTCTTTATAAAGAAATTTTCTTTGGAAATAGTTAAATTAAATGTCAGAATTTCCACCTCATCTGATTTTTAAATTGTCCGAATTTTTATTTCGGGAATTTTCATTTCATAGAAATAATTAAAATATCAAAATATCAATTTACAGAATTTTCATTCCTCGGAACGTTTGTCAGGCGAAGAAATTTCAGTTCAAAATTCTAAGAAAAATTTACCAATCAGAAATTAATAATTATTAAGAAAATAGTGATTTGTCAATTTTGAAATATGCGCCGAAATTTTTGTGTTTGTTTGTCAAACGAATATTCTGTAACTGAATAAAAATTCTGTTCTAATCACAGTTTTTCTAAAGGATATCAAATTGAGACAAAAAAAAGTATCAAAATTGTTGTGGTGCAAGAATTTTGATACTTTTTTTTGTCTCAATTTGATATCCTTAGGAAAACTTAGTTTCGCAAAAACTATTATTATTATTTATAAAAAGAATCGAATTCTTCCAAAGAATGTTATTGAAATTATTGAAAATAATTTAATTCTTAACAAGAATTTTTACTATCAATTTTTTTTTTAAATTGAATCTTTTCGTGAAATTTTATTGAAATTGTTTTGAAAATAATTGAATTTCTGCGATAAATTTTACTGTTTATAAAAATAATTGAATTCTTCCAAAGAATGTTTGATTAAAATTTTTAAAAATAACTAAATTCTTATAATTAAACATTTTTTTAAATAATTTAATTCTTGCGAAAAATATTATTAACATTTTAGAAAATAATAAACAAGAATAATTATGTAGTTAATAGGTGAGTTTTTTAAATTTTGAATTTGAAATTAATCAAAAATTAATGTTTATATTTGAAAATAAAAAAATTTTTTAATTTGCAAAATAATAAATGGAACAGTAACATTTACGATAGTATGTAATAATTATTACATTTATTATTATAATCATAAGAATGTAAAGAACAAAAATAATAATTTATCTTGGTTTATTTATAATATTTAAATGTTTATAAATATTTTCACTAATACTTGATATACACACAACCTTCGCAATATTTTCAAAAAGTCTTCAAGTTTTTACAATATTTCTTGAAATTCTTCAAATATCGCAGATTGCTTTAATTTTCTTGAGATTTGAAGAAAAATCTTCCAATCTGGCAGCACTATTAATATAATTTTCTTTTATTTAACATTTGACTTGAAGGATTGATAATTTTCTTGACATTTTATATTAAATAATACAGTCTAAGATAATTAAAATATATTGCCAAAGAAATTACAGTTCAACAGTATCACTATGATCTAGCAACTATGTAAAATATAACAAAAAAAATAATATTATAGATAATTATGTATATTTTAGTGCGACAATAAATTAGAGCGCTATCTTTCGAAAACTTTCAAAAATGGTAATGACCCAAGTTTTTTGTCTGCGAAATCTGCGAGAATTAAACTTTAAGTACTTGAGAAAATATAAGAACTTTCATAATACATATAAAAGTTCTTTTTACGGGCATTTTCTGCCGTTTTAGTTTCATTTGATGACTGTGCGGTATACGTCTATGTTTTCTGATGAGGTGTGACGGTATATGTATAGTTAAATATATTTGTTCTTTGCTTTTCAGTTGGTGAATGGTTTGGATGGACCAAGATATATTTGCGAAACGGAAGTTATAGAGGCTCTCACAGGAAACAACGTGGAATACGTCTCTCCTGGGAACCATACAAGCAAAAACTCTAACGGGAACATTATCACACTGACGCTCAAAAATAACCACCTCATCGTTGAAACTGAAGAACGTGCAGTAAGTAAAACAACGTCACACATTCACTTCGTCAAATTTCGCGCAGGTAAACGGGCAAAAGAACTGTGTGTGCAACGAACAAAAAACTAAACATGAATAAGAGAAAACTGCTTCTTTTTTTCCCCTCATTTAATTTTCTGACAAAGAAGAGTATATAATTTCGGTCGAGGCTCATCCAATTACCCACTTTTGAATCTTGTTTGAAAACTTTTTTTTTCCCCTACTTATTTCAAACTCTATAAGGAAAAAAAAGCTCTTCCCACTTGCGCGAGAAAAGAGAAAAGTTCGAGTCATACATTAACATTTTTAATTTCATTGTAAATAATTGTAATAATATTTCTTTTTCCTTTTTATTAATTTCTTTAGATATTTCATTTTTTTGATTAAATTTCTCTGTTTTGTTTTTTAATAAAAATCTCTGATTTTTCCCTGAATTTCCTGACCTGTAGCAGCCATGAGGAAAAGAAGGTGAAGTTGAATTGATTGTTGAAAACAGCGAAAAGAATGAGAGTAATTTTAGAGGCGAATTGAAGATTCTTTTGAGATTTTCAAGAACAGATGTATTTTTAGTGTCCTGCGGATTTCTTGCAATCAAATAGAAAACAAGGAAGTTGTCGATTTTGAGAAGGGCAAAAGCAATCACTGCTATCGCTTCGAAAGTTCGAAACCAGACATAGAGAGTCCATTACTAGCAGTTAACAGAAAGTTTCGACTTTGAAAGGTGCTACTAAAATTCCATTCATAGTTTCCTTCTCTAGATATATATAGTTTACCATTTCCCAACTCTTAACTGTAATTAAAAGATTCCAAAACTCTTGGCTGGATTTTATTGATTTGACTTCATTCCTTTTTTCAAATTAACCTACTGAAAAAGAGAATTCATTTTAGGGAAAAAAGAATTGAACTTTTTTTAAAAGAGCTTTCTTTTCTATTCAACTCTCATTGAAATTTTTTCCGTTATTAATTAAGGTAGATAGTAGGATTATTAGGGTGAAAATTCTATTGTTATTATCGATTATGCAGAAACTTTGATAAGCAGAGAGGATGCATTTAATTAATTTCCAAACTCTCTCTACACTTATCAGCTTCCTCCACTAAGTACAAACGATCAATCGATATTCTCAAGTTTACAGTGATAATTCCTCACACGGCGATATTCGCAATTTCTCGCGTCAAGTGATCAGGAATGGATTTTGTAATGTGAGAAATTGAGTGTCTATGTGACAACAAAGGATTCACTGTAGATAATCATTTTAATGTTACTTCACATCATTGTTTTTCTCAAATATTTCTTCTTTTAAAAAAATTCTACATAAAATATTCTATATAAAATAATGACTAAATTCTATTCATTCAAATGAATTTTTATCAAAATTTGTAAATCACTTAAAAAATACAAAGCACAGAGAGAGAGAGAGGGAGAGTCTTTGAAATCCAATTCCAATTCCCCTATAGAAACTCGTTTAAGGGTAGCACCCCAACATTATTTCAGAGCCACCCCCAACATCAAACATTCATTTCCTGAGCTCAATTCCTCTCTTAGAAGAGTACTTTTCCTCCTGTGTGAAGGATGCAATCAAGAATTGAGGAAGCACAATGACTGCAATAGTTTTGATATGACAATGAGAGTATAATATGTATCTCATTCTCATCATTCCTTTTCATGTAGGGAATATACCTATAAATTTGCAATTATCATTAGAATGCGATAGTTTCTCTCTAAGGTCGAAGGTTACTGGGTAATTTCACAGTCTTCTATCGTGTGACAAGGTTATCCGTGAAAGCTCATCTTAGAAGGCACTTGTCAACTCCAGAAGCCGACTTTAAATGACGTACAAAGCTTTCAAACTGTGGAACAAGGAAAGGGCGTGGAACTTGGGAGGAAGCTGTAGGATTCAGAGAATTCAGGAAATTCAAGGAGATGTCGACGTGCTCACAAGAGCATGCATTTCTCGTCCTTTAAGAATCAACAAACATGGTCGATGTAATGGTTTCACCTTCCTACCATACACTACATACTGCGACTGCTTCACATATAATCATTAATTAAATTGTCTATTTTACATTATTTTTCTACCATCCTCCTTGTGTTTCTTTAAATTTATTCTTTATTTTCTTGATACTTTCTCTATTATCTAAATAAAAAATAGCGATATATTTTATTTAGATAATAATTCCTATTCAACAATAACGCTGCTCGTAATAAAAGTTTCTTAATTAAGATAAATTTTTACTGAAAAAGAAACTCCTTTACGGTATGAAATGCAACTTATTTTGATTGCCACAAAAATTTAATTTTGTTTTTCCCTGATTTTTCCCCGATTTCCAGACTTTTTCCTGGCTGATTTTAACATTTTTTCCTGACCCTAAAGAATATTCTGATTTACTCTAAAAATTATTAGATACTCAAAAAAATTTTCTATACTTTTGCGAATTTCTCTAAAAGTAAAATTATTCGAAAACATTTATTTCTTTTTTAAATAAATATTTAATCATTATTATTTTTCAATAATAATGCACTGCTAAAACATTGCCAGTTTATAAATGAATAAATAAATAATGTTTACATGATTTCAAATAATAAAAAATAATTTCAATAATAATGATTTTCAAAAAATTCAAATTCAAACATCAAACATTTTTGAAATTTAACAACTTATAAGAATATTATTAGAAAACATCTAATATTTCTTCATGTTTTGTAATAAATTAAAAATGATCAAATAATAAAATTAAAGTCGGCAAATTGAATTTTTCCAGTCTTTTCTCTATTATTGTAAAATACTATTTTTTATTTTACCATTAATTAGTAAATACTATTTTTTTTTAAAATTTTATATTAAAACTATAAAAATGATTTTAAAATGCCTTTTTATTGATTTGTCACATTTCATAAATTTAACATTTTTCTCATATTCAGAAAATGTACAAAACTCACGCAATATTTTTCAAGTATATATATTCAAGGCAAGAAACTGTCGAGAATTCCTTATCATCATAGTATTTGGCTCATTGCCATGGCAAGTCATTGCAGAAAATCATAAATATTATTTTCTATCTTATTATAAGACATGCAGAATAATCTCATTGATTTGAGTTGGCCAAAAAAATTTTTATTAAACTATTTAGAGAAAATTTATATTTTAAAATTATTTTTATAGAGAGTGGGGTGAAAAAGCCATGGGGTAGAAAAGAAACTTGGATTTTATATTAAATTGAACTATTTTACCATTTGAAATATATGTTTAATTAACTAATTTGATTATATTAAATTTTTAAATAAATATTACATCTCAAAAGAGAAAATTCGAAAAAATTCTTTTATTTTTAAAGAAAATTTTTATTTTGGTAACACTCATTGAAATATAAAAACAGAAAAGTTTATAACATATTTTGCCAAAATCTCAAAGTGTCTTTTTCCACTTTCTAAAAAAAGCCACTTGCAGCGCTTTCGTAAAACTCATAACTTGGTCCTTTTGTGGATTACAAAAAATGTCCAATAAAGATTTTGAAGCTTAATGACCAAACTTTCAGTACCAGTTGGGAAAAAGTTAACTAATTAAGAATTTGGAAATTAATTAAAACAAAAAACGAGTCTTTTTAGAATCAAGAATTAGAAATTAATTTAAAAAAATAACGAGTCTTTTAAACACATATTTTTTAAATTTTGAAATAATAATTTTTGAAGAAATGTGACGACAACTTTAAAAAAAATGTGAGCACGTAAAAGTTTGGTTTCTTTGACTTACCACAGGAATTCCAATGTCCACGATGAGTATAAGGTCGGAACTCGCCCTACCGGTCTCTTTTTTAGTTTTCTAAAGGCTTCCTTGTTGAAGAGTCACGTAAGATACTTTCTGCAATAGAGAAATAAAATATAAAAATATATAAATAACGTGACTCTAGTACTGAATGATGGGAAATGAAAGAAAAGAGGAATTGCTGAAAAAGCTCTCCGACAACAACGTTTAGAATTCTCGCGGGACCAATAAAATCAATGTATTCAAATAAGGCACGCTCCATTTGTCGCTCTTTCTGTACAATTTACATTTAGATTTCTCGCGAGCGTTAATGAAAGCTTACAACATGAAAGGTCTGCTATAAGTTCTGTTTTTTTTTCTTTTTTTTCTTTTCAGCACTTTGGTTTTAATTTTATTTTTTTATTATCAATCTTTTTCCCAATAAAATATTTATTTCTAATATATATATTTTTTTATTTATTTATTTTATTAATTTTACATTCTCTTAGTTTTTTTTTTTATTTGTTATTTTGTTTACTATTTTTTATTATTTTGTAAATTAAAAAATTTTATATTTTCAATAATAAACATCAATTTTTGAATAATTACAGATTTTAAATTTAAAGAATTCACTTATTAACTACATAATATTAAATATTCTTGTTTATTATTAATACAAAAATTTTAATAAAATTTATTGCAAGAATTTCATTATTCTCATGGATAATAAAATTTTTTAGAGCAATTCAATTATTTTTACTGCAATTTTAATAAAATTTCGCGAAAGAATACAATTATTTTTTAAAATATTCATTACATTCGATTATTTTCAAGAATTTGAATATAAATTCAATTATTTTCTAGAATTTTGATAAAATTTTTGTCAAAATTTCAATTATCTTTAAAAATAATAAAATTTTTCTCCAAAATTCAATTATTTTCAAAAATTTTTTTAAGTTCTCGTAAAAATTTCAATTATTTCTAAAAATAATAAAATTCTTTTCCAAAACTCAATTATTTTCAAAAAAAATTTTTAATTTTCGTGAAAATTTCAATTATGATTAAAAATAATAAAATTCTTTTCCAAAATTCAATTATTTTTGAAAGTTTAAATAAAATTCTTGTCAAAATTTCAATTATTTTTAAAAATAATAAAATTCTTTTCCAAAATTCAATTACTTTCAAAGATTCAAAATAAAATTCTATGAAACAATTCAATTATTTTTATGAATTGTAAACTCATCAGGAAGAATTCAATTA